TTTTTTATAAAGCAATTTGTTTTTTAGGGGTTTGGAATTTGTCTAGGTTTTGTTAGCAAGTATAAGCATACTACGAATCAAAGCAAAAAAAAATGAAAAATACAAAATAAATATTTAAACCTATTCTAGAACACCTATAATAACTAATAAAAAAAATAATCTGAAATAGCTTTGGGATCTCGCTTAAATACTATTTTTTAATTTAATAATCTGCCCTTTTGAATGTCATGATTAAAAAGTATTTTTATAGCATTAGTAGATTTAAATAAAAAGCATGAGGCTTCTTAATATTGATACTACTGATAACTGACTAATCACGTAACTTATTTCAGCATCCATTGATGCTGAAATACTATAATGTGTATTTAATCTGGTATTGAATATGTAACAGTTTACATATCTAATGAATTGTCTTATAAATTCTGCGAAAGTCTGAAATAAAAGAAAAAGAAAGCTGCACAGCTAATCACTTAACAAAACAGTTAGGAATTTATATTCCAATCACCTAACCAAGACAGATAGGAACTTACTATTTGTTCAGAATCAAATTACAATAATATCATCGTAATAACCGAATTTTTTATTTTTCAATATTCAAATCAAATTCACCCATAAGTGATCTTAAACAATTATATACATTTGCTGCTACAGTGTTGATTTTACTTCCAAATCTAATATCCTCAAATTCATCATCATAATTATTATTTACAAGTGTTACAAACATCAACAATCTGTTTATAATATATATACAAAATAATAATAATTCAAAAATAACAAGAAAAATCTAAATTTTAATGAATATATTTCGGGGTTTTCAATATTTGTAAATAAGCGATATAAAAAGACATACATAAGCATAATTGTATTACTAAACCCAAATCCACCATTTGATAAAACATTCTCACAAAATCCTGTCAATCCCAATACTACTTCAAAAACAATTACAACAATTTTTAAACCACTATCCAAACCTTCTTTAGAAAGTAAAATCGCCAATTTAATCCAAGATGCCAAAATACTCCCATAAGATCCAAGTGAAAAAATAGTAATAACAGGAAATAATAAAAAAATTATTGCAATGATTATAGAATGTAATTATTTTTTAATACTTTATAATTATTTATTGATGGATAGACTTCAGCAAAATTATTTAAGGAAACCTATATTAGAAACAAAGTTCAATTAATGTATAAGATATTGGTCATACAACGATTAATATCATTGCATGATCCAATATTGATGTTATCATGCAATTATAATCATTTAAAAGTCATGATTGGCTAACTGAGTTTTAATTCAAGTATTGTTGTGTTTATGTATTAATATACAAAAAATAACAAGAAAAAAAATCCATGATTATAAGAGTTTGCACAATAACATTAAATATCATTAAAAATACTTTGTCACAAATTATAATGATTTTAGATCTTATATTTTTATGTTTAAGGTTTGTACAGAATCTGTTTTTTAATTAATTACAATTGAGTATTGCTAAGAGAAAAATTTTAAAGTTTCATTTTCCCTTGACAGCGTTCATATTATTTGTTATTGTGGTTCTAGTATCATAAAATTAGTCACAATATTTTTTCAAAGTTTGAACAGTATTATATTTTACAATACCAGACAATTTTTAATAATATTAGCGATTTTAAAGAGAAACTCAGAGCAATACTTAAAATGAGAAATGATCTTAATGAAGAATACCCAAATATTATTCTGATCCGCTGTTGCCTTCATTCCTTTAACTTACTTCAGCTTATCAACCTTTACTTTACATATAGCATGTATAATGCTTATGTACCTACCATCTAGCTTTTAAAATTGGTAGAGAGTACATGCTATGAGGGTATACGTGTCTGACTTTTACTGTACTTAATTGTAAAGAAACCACTATCAAATCTCAAGCTGAATATTTAGCTGCTGAATACTATCTTCATGGAGAAAAAGATGAAAAAAAAGCTTTTGAGTATACAAAAAAAACTTGCCAATAAAAATATAGTTTACAGTTATATTTAATAAAATGAGAATCAGCGACCTTTTATACATTGTTACAAATTTTAAACTTTAAATAAAAATAGCTTAACTATAATTAAACAATCAAAAAATCAAATATTTCAAATCTTCATATACATGCTTTTTAATTTGTTGTGAGTAGTCAGATAATTATATATATATTGCTAATAAAAAGATAAAAAAATAACTCTAAATTTAAAACTAATAATTTATTTAATCTAAAAACTATAAATCTAATTTTTATAGTTCTTACTTACTCTGCATTTTTTGTTTCTAAAAAATAAATAAAGCAAAGCAGAATTATAGAAAAGCCATAATAAACCAATCAGAAATACATTTAATGCAAACGCTTGATTGTTAGTATCATGATAATCAAGATTTATCTTAATTAAAATAATTGAAATAATAATTATATAGACAGATAAAAAAATAATTAAATTTGAATTGACCAAGTATACCCATTTGATTTCTTTGGTTAATTTTTTCAGCAACTCTAAATCAGATAAAATGTTTAAATTTTCATCATCAATTGTCACAGTTTGAGTTTTTTTCTTGGAGGTTTCATTTATAAGCTTTTTCGGATGGATAATATCAATATTATAATTCTAAAACTATAAAGCCTGATGTTATAATAAATCCAACTTTTTTAATTAATTTTTTTTCATCTTCCCACAATAATACTGCTCCAATAATCATAATAAAATTCGCTTCAAGTAAATGTTCAAAAGCTTTCGTATATTCTTTTTTCAACTTTAATATATTATGCTTTTTTCTTGAATATTTTGAAAGTAAAGTGGAATAGTCGCCATGATAGGGTTTGTTAAAATTTTTTTTAATAAAAATAAATGGAAGAAAAGATTTTAGGGGAGGGTCGGGTATTAGTGCTAATAGTAAAAGTTCTCAAGAAAATATATTATTCCTAAAATTTATTGTTTTTCAAAAATTTTAAATATATAAACATTTTTTTCAAGTATACTAGTAACACAAAGAAATTTAAATTTTAGAAACAATGGATAAAATATTATTAATCGCCAGAGGTTAAAACAATATAAATATGTATATAGTCCCTTAAATTAACATCACCTGAAATTATCCCTTTATGCCAAAGTGTAGTTCAAATTGGACTTTTTAAATTGAATAATTTCTGTCCCTGTACTCGCTCCCTATTCCTTGCTAAAAACTATACTCCTTTAAATTATAGAATGATTAGAAATCAAATTGATAACAATATAGATATGTATATAGTTCCTTAAGTTAATATTACCTGAAATTATCCCTTTGTGCCAAAGTGCTGTTCAAATTGGACTTTTTAAATCGAATGATTTCTGTTCCTGTACTCGCTCCCTATTTCTTGCTAAAAACTACACTCCTTTAAATCATAAGATGATTAGAAATCAAATCGAATTTATTTTAATATTCCCATTAAGGAGGAATAATGTTTTTAGATGTCGATGCAAAATTATAATTAAAAATAGCATTGTCAATGTTTTGTTTTCTGTTTGTTAATAAGAAGAATTCGTTATGTGGTACTCCAATCAATCCCAATGGCATGAATAATAGACACTTTCAAGATGTCTGTGAATTTTACCTTTAAAATCTTCAGAGAAAAAGGAGTAATGTATCAGAGTTGGAATGTCAATATAGAAGAACTTTAGAACATTTAGCTGAAGGATATAAATTATTTGTAATAAGTCTATTTGGGGCAATCTTTGCTATTATTATCAGTGCAACATTATGGTGGGAAAAGAAAAAAATAATTAAAAAGGTTGAATCTATTGCAACATCAGGATTCATGAGTCTAAATGGAATTACATTATTAATATTATCCATCAGTAGTGCAATTATATCTCTAATAATATCCATCAGAAAATGTATTTTAAATAAAATCAACAAGAAAGAGAATATTCAAACTATGGAAATTGGTGACGAGATGCTAAATGGTTCATTTGGTAATCAAACATTGCACTATATAAAGGTTATGAAAGATAAGAAAAAAAAGATTAGAAATTACAACTTAGTAAATCTTAGTTTTATAGTTTTTCTTTCTGTCTATATTATTATTCTTGCAATTATTTCAATCTATTCGAATCCAGAATTAGCATTACATATTTTTATTATAGGCTTATTATGGGTTTTCTATATATTGCTTTATTTCTATTTGTTCTTTATTGGTAGAAAATATAAAATAAGCAAAGACGATAAAGACAATATTAAAGATACCCTAAAAGGATTGCCTGTACAATTTATAAACCCAAACAACATCATTTAAACAATTAGCTTTTAAACCCATAGAATCGCAGAGGTCTTTGATGCAGGGTTAATTCTTCGCTTTTTAGTAAATCTTAGTTTTATAGTTTTTCTTTCTGTCTATGTTATTATTCTTGCAATTATTTCAATCCATTCGAATCCAGAATTAGCATTATATATTTTTATTATAGGCTTATTATGGGTTTTCTATACACTGCTTTATTTCTATTTGTTCTTTAGTGGTAAAAATTATAAAATAAGCAAAGATGATAAAGACAATATTAAAATACCCAAAAAAGATTGCCTGTACAATTTATAAACCCAAACGACATCATTTAACAATTAGCTTTTAAACCCATAGAATCGCAGAGGTCTTTGATGCAGAGTTAATTTTACTAAATTAATTCTACCAGAGTTACAAGCAATTATACTTACCAGAGTTACAAATTAATTCTACCTAGAGTTGAACATAATTTCACATAAATTTCAGTAATATAGATTTCATGTAAATTTCACACGTAATATATATTATAGATTAATTCTAGCCAGTATTATAAGTATTTGTATTGTTTCGAAATAACTTTATCGGTAGATATTTATTTAAAAAAAACTACTATTTAATTTTCTTAATTCTAAATATCTAATTCTGAAACCCACACATTTATTAATTTACACAAAAACAAATATAATTCTGCCAATATCAAAATGGCACATAATAAAATTTGAATTAAAACAAAAACTTATTTAAAGTTTTTCAGAGGTGTTGATGGCATTACTTGAACAGCATTCATAAGAAAGTCTCGTGTATTTTGATTTTCTTTACTTCTGTTGTAAAATTTCTTAATACTTTCAATTTCCTTTTCAATTTTTCTTAAAATATTTAAGTTTTCATTAATGGTCACCTACAATAAAAAACCAAATTTGTTAATAATAAATAGAACGAACCTTAATATAGATCAATAAACTCAGCAAAAAGATTGAATCTGAAATGTTGTCAGATTTTAAAAGAATTTTAGCTTCACCTACAGAAAAACTCAAGCGAAGTTGATGATTTTCCATAAGCCTAATAGCGATTAAAGAAAAACTTCTCTCTAAAATAATTTTTTTAATTAAATATGAGTGTGCTATGACTGGGTAAAAAGAATATAATATCTATTTACCAGCAACGAAAACTGCTATTTATCTTAATTTCGTTAAAAGATCTTTTAATGTACTTGTAATATTCAAAGCATTCTTGGCTATGTAAATTAGAAAACTATTGATTGCATCATTTATTGATCTTAAGAGTTTATTATAAACTTCATTAAAAGGCACATGAGGAAGTTTTACTTCCACAATTAGAAAATACACTAAGTTATTTTCTTGATATTTGTATGTGAGGGCTGTATCAACTTTTTAGAATAAATTCGAATGTAGGTAACCCTGGTTTTGGTTCTCCATATAATGAAATATTAGTATTGTTTGATGGTAAAACAATAGGATCATCGATTTGATTTTTGATTATAATATTTTCTTCAACAATAGAACTTTGATGTCCTAAAAAAGGAACTTACAAGTGACACTTATAAAGTTCGTTTCTTTCATAATGATAATGCAACATTAAAGTTAACTTTACATAATTGGTTTTTGAGACAATGATATGGTAGCCCAAAGTTCGGGTCACAAAGTATACCTTATGGCATTAGGTAAAGTCTTGCCTTTTGTTTAGGCCAAATAAAGTGTTTTACGCTATGAGGTGTAGCTGTTATTTATAACAAGTGCATCTACTATTGCTTCTCCACTCTCAGGTCAAAATTCATTTTTACAAAGAGCCGGTAACACCATTTTTAAAATCTTTTATAGCATCTTAGTAATTCGCAGAAAAATTCTTATTAGTAGTTAGCCAGTTGAGAATAGCTATTTCATAAAAAGATGTAATAGTGGTGTACTATCATATTAAGGGCAATATTCAATTATCAATTATCTAATTTTCATACACTGCAAAAGCTACGTTTTCGATTTTTGCATATTTATTAAAATCAAAAAAAGAGTAACTTTTGTAATCATTAGAGTTATTTTTACTATACTACATTGGCAGAAGTTATTCGTGAACAAATTTAAAACAAATCGAACATCCACAGGTAAAAGAGTTGAACAAATAAATGTATTGAATATATGTTATTATTATATATTAACTAGAAACATGATCATGTAGGCAGCTTGGCTACCTATAATAACTATGTTAAAGCAGATTTGTTTGTTTTATTCTTATTTTGATTTCAGATACTAGTTGTTTTCTTAAAAATTGTTACAAAAAAAACAAAAAATCTTATTCGGATTTCTTTGGAGAGGAAGGTGTAGTTAAAATATTACTTTTTAAAAATTTGCCCAAATTATCAAATTCCTCAATTCTGTTATCTGAACACTCACTAATTCTTTTAACTTCCTCTTCAATTTTTTAATTTGTTTAATAAATTCTTTTACCATACCCTAATAAAAAATATAAGCAAAATCAAAATAGGCTGAAAAATCTGAAAAATTTTTATATTTAAAAAAACAGTTAAACCTAACCTTAATATAGTGCAGACAGCCTAGTCGCAGCAAATAAAAATTTTTAGTGGCCAAATTCAGATTTTATTTTTCATATATATGAAGAGGCCAATTTGAAAATTTAGCTAATATTAATATATAAAGTGGCCAAATTTAAATTTTTAATATATATAAAGTGGCCAAATTTAAATTTTTAAGAGGCCAAATTTGGTTTTTTTATATATATAAAAGGTGGCCAAATTTCATATTTAATTATAAAAATGCTATAACTTTAATCTGCTATAGCTTTTTTTATAAATAGATTTAAAAAAATTTAAGAACATAGAAGTGTTTAGCTTGTTTTGATTTAACATTTTAAGATAATATTTTTTTTTACAATTTTTTTTTTGAAAAAGGATTAGCAATTTGAATTTTATCAATTTTATTTGTCAGGACTAGGCTGTTTGCACTGTACAATAAAGAAAGTCAATTATTTGGCCTGCGTGCTGAACTTCAGGTTTTGAAGGAATCTTAGCTGAACAGATATCAGATAGAATACCAAAGTTCTGGTTTGTGAATCTTACATATTGAAAAAGATATATTTCTCCTTCTATATATAGTATATTTTTAGTAATTATTTTTTCAAAAAACATATAAATAAATCACACTACCTGATGTATGTATTCCTCCAAGTTTAATACCATCAAATAGTCCATATAGCTTCTTTGAATTTTTTTTTGCTCTCTTAGAGTAATGTTTAATAATTGTATTAAAATTATCATTTAAAGCTCGAATGTTTTTTTTGTAATCTTTTTCACCATTAATTTCTGGAAGCTTCACTTTGCCAAGTAAGGAATAAAGATATCCAAAATTTTTTTCTCCATTTTTATTCTTTTCTTTATCAACTCTGAAAGAAATAGCAATATCAACTTTTTTGCGATACTTTTTTTTTGATATTATGCCTCCTTTTTTGTATTTATCAGATATTTTTAAATTCTCTACAACAATAGTTGTAGTTGTAGAACCATTTTTAGAACACCACCGATAAGCTTTTGGCCTTTGATTATTAATAATAATGGTATCTTCTATTTCATCTGCTATGCTGTATTTACATATACGTATTTACATATTAGTATATATAATGTATACTTTAAAAGTATAATTCTGTATTGGCACATTTTGTAATGCATATAATTTATTTCATCACATCATAGGATTATCTGTTTGAACTAATTTCAGTGATTATCCTCCACTAATGTATTGTGGAATATAACTAATATTATCAATTTCAAGATGGATTTTGATAACAAGCTGTAAGTTGTCTTTTATTAATTGATTTGAACCTGAGGTAGGTTTTATTTGAGATATCAATATACCTGTATATATCAAGTATCTTATAGTATAAAATAGAAATTCTTTCTATATATAAACATTTATAATTTTCTGTTGTTATTTTGAAATTTATATTTTTTTTATAACATGGGAATCTCGAAAAATGTGTCTTCTACTTATAACGTTAAGGAAGTTTGGGGTGCTTTACCTTCTAGATGGTTGTACATCTCAAATTTTCCTACAGATGTTAACCTTTGGCGCCACATAAAATTAATTTTTGAGGTAATTTTTAATTTAATAGCGTATTTACACAAATTAACATCTGTGTAGGGATTGGAACTGTTTAACCATTTAAAAATTGCTCTATAGTTCTGGGCAAAATTATGTTGGTTTGGGCCGGAATTATTTTAATGCCGACTAAATTAAACGGCTAAACGATTAAACGATTAAACGATTAAGAAAATTTTTAGGCGGTTCCAATTCCTACATCCGTGGGTGTTATTTAGAAACATGCAATGTAAAAAAAGCTAACAATTAATTTATTCAAGTGTGAATATAATTTTTGCTATTAAAAGTCTTCGCCTAAATTAATTATAGCTTTATTTAAATTTCATGTCTCTAACTACTCCCATGGGCGCTATATAACCGACGATTTTTAATTTACACGTTTTTTTATAATAGTTTTATGGTGTCGTCCAAGAAATTCTTGTTGGATTCAGTTATGCTTATATAATTTACTATGATTTTCGTGACGCTGTCAAGGCACTTCAATTCCTCCATCATAAAGATGTGCCTCATAATCAATTTAGATTGGAAATCTGGTTTTCTTCTAAACTATATGAGGTATTTTCTATTATATATGTTGTTTTTTTAATAACTTCTATAGCTTAATAGTAGTAATAACAATTTTAATAATAATGATAAATAACAAAATTCTAATTAATAAACAGTTCCTGGTTGCTTCTTCACCAGGCTTAGAATGTAGGTCTGAATATATGGTAAAGGGTTTTCCATCCCCGTCTGAAAATAGTACCGTGATCTCTTCTGGTAATAAAGCTATCCCAGACAAGAATACTCTAGATCTTGAAAGAGTTAAAAATGGTATTTTTAATTTATTGCTGGGTAGGATGAACGTAGAGCGATTTTTGATACTCCTGTACTTTTATGATATATCTAAACATACTTAAATCTATAGGATTAGATGTTATTATAGTAAAAAGTTAGGTATGTTCAGATATATCAAAAAAGTAAGTGTAGGACTAGCAATCACATAGTAAATCAAATGATTCAACTAATCAGAATTTGCTATTTCTGTGTGAACCTAGATTATATATTGGGCCTTTGCTATGATTTTTTTTTACTAAAAATAGATTTGTTATGATTTTACTAATTAAAATCTTGTGTAACAATAGCTTGGAGGGTCATTTTGTTAGCAAAAGCCCCATATGGAGACGCCCACAGCAAAAGCAGGGGCTGGGACTATATATTATATAGTTCCAGCCCCTGCTTTTGCTGTGGGCGTCCCCATATATTCTGTAATCTTACTATTATAAACAAAACCGTTTGACAATAATTATTAAAAGCATCTTTTTCCTTACTTTGTTAAACTTTAACATTTCATAATAGGTCTTGATAATTGTACCACATTGATAATCAGGAATATTCTGAACAAGTATACTCAGGTATATGATTATTCTATTATCAACGAATATAATTGCATTATTGCTCACGGTTACTTGTATAAAATTTAGCAAATGCTGTTAAATTGGCTCGACGAAACCCATTGTGGTCAATACAATTTCATCTACTTGTGTATGGATTTTAAAAACAATTGCAATGTCAGATATACTTTTATTAACTTTGTGGATGTCATGTAAAATTTTTTCTTTATATAGTATTATTATTTATTCCCTTTTTCCTAACACTAATAATTATCTATCAAAAGTGCCATACTTTCTTTTGCTGAAGCACGCTTTGGAAAAAAATGGTATGTGAATTTCCGTGATTTACCAAAGTTTTTATACAATTGGCCCTTGTAACAAATAAGA